TCTTGTAAACCTCTATAGACCTCCGGATCACCGATTTAATACATACTTTAACCTCTATATAGTTCTGACATCTTGAGACCTCAATCATTTCAGTTCGAAGGTCTAGAGATCTTCTCAGTACCTACTTAGACCTATATAGAGCACCTCCTTACCTACTCTAACCTCTAGAGATCTCTTTTGAAATGCTCTATAGCTCCACATCACCTGTTGCCACTTTTATAGAGCTCCCCCTTACATCTTCAGATCTCCAGCGACCTCTACAGCACCTTTTCAGCCTCTATAGACTTTACACAGACCTCTAGCGACCTCCTGATCACCTATTTAATACTTACTTTGACCTCTATATATTTCCACCCTACCTACTCCCACCTCTTGAGATGTCGATCATATCAGTTCGAAGGTCTAGAGAGCTCCTCAGTACATACATAGCCCTATATAGAACACGTCCATAACTACTATGACCTCTACAGATCGTTGTTGCTATTTTTTCTAGCTCCGCCTTATACCTTCAGATCTCCAGCGTCCTCTACACCACCTTTTCAACCTCTATGGAATTCACACATACCTCTAGGGACCTCCTGATCACCTATTCAATACTTTTCTTGGCCTATATGCAGCACCTCCTTACCTACTCTGACTCCGACCTCTAGTTAACCTCTATAGACTCCTCTACCGTCATCCTGATCATATTTTTAATACTTACTTAGATCTATATAGATCATCACTTTACTTACTCCGACCTCTCGAGATCTCGATCATAATAGTTCGAAGCTCACGAGTACCTATTTGGACCTCTAAAGAGATCCTCCTTACATACTCAATTCGAAGGCCTTAAGAGGTCCTCAGTACCTAATTGGAATTCTGTAGAGCTCCTCCTTACTTCTGTAGAGCCCCTTCTTACCTATTGAGATTAGCCAAGACCTTCTCATCATCTGTTCGAACATCTCCCCAAAAATCTACGTACACCTCTCCTTACGAATTCGGAGCTCCAACGACACACAAGTCCTTCTCATTGCTAGTTCGAACCTCTAATAAGCTCCTCAATATCTATATGGACATCTATAGAGCTCCTCCTTACCTAATCAGAGCTCTAGCGACTTCCGGCTTACCTAATCAGAGCTCTAGAGCTATGGCGATTATTATTAGCATTGATGAACATTTTCCAGTATATCGAATTTTTTCTAGAGGATACATACAGTAGAACTTCGATAATTCGTACCTCGATAATTCGTAATCTTCGATAATTCGTAACAAACTGTCGGTCCCTTGAAAAAATCTCGATATTTCGTAAAATTTACACGCATTTTGGTCCCTTCGAAAAACCTTGATATTCCTATTTTTTTATTTTAACCTCGTCAATTCGTAATCTCGATAATACGTAATCTTCGATAATTCGTAAAAATTTGCTGGTCCCTTGAATTACGAATTATCGAAGTTCTACTGTATTCGGAATGGTAGGAGATTTTTTCGAGAAGTAAGAGGGAGTTTGAAAGTAGAGGTCCTGCCCCGTAAAATCTTCTACACAATATATATATATATATATATATATATCTCTGTATCATATTAAAGCGCAGATATTTATCTGATAATGCTTGGCTAAATCTCATCAAATATTCGAGTTTTGATGAAAAATGAACGTGTGCTGAAAAATGTCAAATTTTAGCTTATTTTCGGTAAGGTGTTTGCTGAGGCCATAACATTCGAAGAAGTGGGAATATTTTCGATGTGCTGAAATTTAAAAAAAAAATGTCATATTTTTTAAGTAACCTGTTTTTAGAGGTCATAACTTCTAAAGTGCTGCGGATATCTTTGTGAAATAACTAGATTTTGAAAGTAGAGAGATTTGCCTTGAGTTCGTTCTCACAATGTTAAGCTGTATCCTATCGAATAATCGGGCTATGACGAAAAGTATACGTGTGCTGGATTTTTTTTAATGTTTAGACTTTTTTTGGTAACCTGCTTCTAGAAGCCATAATTTTTAAAGTAGTGGGGATATTGCTGAGAAATAAATGGATTTCGAATGTAGAGAGATGTACCTTGAAGTCGTCCCACAATGTTGGGCTGTATCTCATCGAATATTCGAGTTATGGTCAAAAGATAAAATGTGCGGAATTTTTTTCATGCTGAGAATTTTTCGGTAACCCGCTTAAAGAGGCCATAACTTCTAAAGTAGTAGGAATATATTAGAGAAATAGATGAATTTTAAAAGTAGTGAGATTTATCTTGAGTTTATCCTCACAATGTTTGGCTGTACCTCATCGAATATTCGAGCTATGGCCAAAAGACAACGTATGCTGGAAAATTTCAATGTTTTGAAATTTGTCGGTAACCTGCTTCTAGGGGCCATACCTTCTTAAGTAGTGGGGATATCTTTGTGAAATATGTGGATTTTGAATGTAGAGAGGTGTACCTTGAAGTTATCCTCACAATGTTTAGGTGTATTGTATCGAATATTCGGCCTATGACGAAAAGTATACGTGTGCGGGATTTTTTTAATGTTAAGACTTCTTTCGGTAACCAGCTTCAGGAGGCCATAGCTTCTGAAGTAGTGGAGATATCTGTGAGAAATAAATGGATTTCGAAAGTGGAGAGATGTATCTTGAAGTCATTACCACAATGTATGGCTGCATCTCTTCGAGTAATCGAGTTATGACCAAAAGATAAAATGTGCGGGATATTTTTAATGTTTACAATTTTTTCGGTAACCCGCTTCTGGAGGCCATAACTTCTAAAGTAGTGGGGATATTGTTGAGAAATAAGTGGATATTGAAAGTAGACAGATTAATCCTGAGTTCGTCATCACAATGTCTAGCTGTATCCTATCGAATATTCGAGTTATGGCCAAACGATAACCTGTGCGGGATTTTTTTAATGCTGAGAATTTTTTTGGTAACCTGCTTCTAGAGGCCATAATTTTTTAAGTAGTTGAGATATCGTTGAGAAATAAATGGATTTCGAAAGTAGAGAGATGTATCTTGAAGTCATTCCCACAATGTATGGATGTATCTCATCGAATATTCCAGTTATGACCAAAAGATCACGTATGCTGAATTTTTTTTTAACGTTAAGACTTCTTTCGGTAACCAGCTTCAGGAGGCCATAGCTTCTGAAGTAGTGGAGATATCTTTGAGAAATAAATGAATTTTGAAAGTAGAGAGATTTATCTTGAGTTTATCCTCACAATGTTTGGCTGTACCTCATCGAATATTCGAGCTATGGCCAAAAGACAACGTATGCTGGAAATTTTCAATGTTTTGAAATTTGTCGGTAACCTGCTTCTAGGGGCCATACCTTCTTAAGTAGTGGGGATATCTTTGTGAAATAAGTGGATTTTGAATGTAGAGAGATACCTTGAAGTTATCCTCACAATGTTTAGGTGTATTGTATCGAATATTCGGCCTATGACGAAAAGTATACGTGTGCTGGATTTTTTTAATGTTTAGAATTTTTTCCGGTAACCTGTTTGTAGAGGCCATAACTTCTAAAGTAGTTTGGATATTGTTGAGAAATAAATGGATTTCGAAAGTAGAGAGATGTATCTTGAAGTCATTCCCACAATGTATGGCTGCATCTCATCGAATATTCGAGTTATGACCAAAAGATCACGTATGCTGAATTTTTTTTTAACGTTAAGACTTCTTTCGGTAACCAGCTTCAGGAGGCCATAACTTCTGAAGTAGTGGAGATATCTTTGAGAAATAAATGGATTTTGAAAGCAGAGAGATGTATCTTGAGTTCGTCCTCACAATGTTTTGCCGGGCCTCATCGAATATTCGAGCAATGGCCCAAAGAAAAGATGCGCTAGATTTATTTAATGTTCGAAATTTTTCGGTAACCCGCTTCAAGAGGCCATAACTTCTGAGGTAGTGGGAATACATTAGAGAAATAATTAGTTTTCTTAAAGTAGAGAGATTTATCTTCAGTTCATCCTCACAATGTTTGGCTGTATCTCATCAAATATTCGAGTTATGGCCAAAATAAAACGTGTGCTGGAATTTTTAAATGCTTGACATTTTTTCGGTAACCTGCTTCTAGAGGCCATAACTTCTGAAATAGTTGGGATATTGTAATGAAGTAACTTATTTCAGAATCTATGGCTCTCAAGCTCTACAGAGATGTCCCATTTATGCCCTCCGGTATTTTTTTCTAATAGTGGGAAATTGATGTTTATCATACGCAACCCAGAGAATATAATTTTCTTTGTCGTGTGCTTCACCCAATAAAAAACAATTAGTTTCATGATTTTTTATGTTTTTTATTTATTTATTATAATTAATTACAATATTTCTATAGATTTATTTTTATACTCTTAAATGGGAGACAATATAATGTTGTGGTATTTACAAATAAAAATTTGTAAAAATTATTTTAAAATTTTATCTAGAATTCAATTCATGTTCATGTATTTGCTTTAAGCTTAAAAATAAGTGCACTTGTTGTAATATAATTATTTTTTTTAATTTAAATTTGATATGTAATAAATATTAAATGTTATATATTTTTATTTTTTATATACAAAAAATTAATTGATTTAAAAATATTTTTTTTTTCAATATTATCTCTGTACACTACTAGGATTTCATATAAAATAATGGTCATTGTGTCTAAAGTTAATTATTATTATTTTTTTATATTAATTAGGTATTTTTTCTATATATTTTTAATTTTAAGGAAAACATTTTTTTCACAGTTCCTTAATTTTTTCAAAATTATTTTTTTGGTAGACAAATTTGGTTTCAATTTCTTCTCAATTGAATTTTTAAGGTCATGTTGGTTGTTGTTACTTTATTGGAAGTTGTGAATTTTCATATTTTTTTCTGGTAGACTTTATAGTTGATCCTAACCTATATTGCTTTCCTAGGGGTTAGGGGAGGATAGGGTAAATTTTCCCTAACCTAACCTAGCTTTTGTTCTGATATGGAAGTTATTTTTTTATTTTTAGTTATGAATTGTAAATTGGAAGTTCCGTTTTTTCTTGGGGAAGTATTTCATTATTTCACTTATGATTTGGTACCCTCTGCAGCCGCCGCGGCAGTGGCAGCAGCTGCAGCGGCCTGTCTTTTTTCCTCCTCCATTTCGAGGCGCTCCACCTTGCGTATTTTGCTAAGTTTCTCTGGAAAAGAGAAAAAAAATAGTTGAAAATAAATTCGAATATTGATCTGCATCCGAACTTACTTGCACACTTCAGCATTATTGTACCCCACCATATGCTCCAGCCCCAGCCGACAAAACAGAAGAGAACACAAAAGAATTGGGCCATACCCACAATGATGTTGATGATCAGGGAGCCAAGGCGGGCCTTGGCACTGTCGTAGTGGGAAAATCGAGGTATGCCAACACAAACGCAGAAGAAGCCGGATAATAAGGTCCCTGAAATGGGAAATTATATAAATAGAAAAAATGGAATTTGAAGGTATCGGAGGACCGAATAATAAGGTCCCTGAAATGGGAAATTATATAAATAGAAAAAATGGAATTTGAACGTATCGGAGGACCCTCAGATCCCTATAGCAAAATCGGAGTACCTTCAGGTTGCTATTTTTATAGAAAAAAAAAATCGCTGGATCCTTGGGTCCATCTTTTCCTATAAAAAAAATTGCGAGATCCTTAGGTCCATTTTTTTATAGAACAAATCGGCGTACCTTCAGGTCGAGACCCTAAGGTTCCATTTTTTTCAATAGAAAAAATCCTTCGAGACTCTTGGGTAATTTTTTCAATAGAAAAAAAATCGTCGGGACCTTGGGTCCATTTTTTTCTATAGAAAAAAATCGTGGGGACCATTGGGTTCATTTTTTTCTATAGAAAGAAAATCCATCGGGACCATTAGGTCCATTTTTTTTCTATAGAAAGAAGATCCATCGGGACCATTAGGTCGATTTTTTTCTATAGAAAAAAATCCATTGGGACCCTTGGGTCCTTTTTTTTATAGAAAAAAATTCGTCAGGACCATCAAGATCCATTTTTTTCTATAGAAAAAAATTCGTCAGGACCCTTAGGGTCCATTTTTTTTCTCTATAGAAAAAAATTCGTCAGGACCCTTAGGGTCCATTTTTTTTCTCTATAGAAAAAAATTCGTCAGGAACCTTAGGATCCATTTTTTTCTCTATAGAAAAAAATTCGTCAGGACCCTTAGGGTCCATTTTTTTCTCTATAGAAAAAAATTCGTCAGGACCCTTAGGGTCCATTTTTTTCTTTATAGAAAAAAATTCGTCAGGACCCTTAGGGTCCATTTTTTTCTTTATAGAAAAAAATTCGTCAGGACCCTTAGGGTCCATTTTTTTCTTTATAGAAAAAAATTCGTCAGGACCCTTAGGGTCTATTTTTTTCTCTATAGAAAAAAATCCGTCGGAACTCTCAGAGCCCCATTTTTCCCTATAGAAAAAATTCGTATGGGTCCTGACCAATTTTTTTTGAAGAAAACAAATCCGTGGGACCCTTGGGTTCTTTTTTCCAAAGAAAAAAATACCTGGTCCACCTGGACCGACGGATTTCTACAGAACAAATCTGTCGGGACCCTTGGGTCACTTTTTTTAGAAAAAAAATCGTCTATATATATTTTTTCTATATAAAAAATTCGTTGGGTCAGGACCCATGGGTCCATTTTTTTGAAGAAAACAAATCCGTCGGACCCTTGGGTCCTTTTTTGAAAAGAAAAAAATACCTGGTCCAACTGGACTGACGGATTTCTACAGAAAAAATCTGTCGGGACCCTTGGGTCCCTATTTTTTTTTTGTAGAAAAAAAATCGTCGGGACCCTTGGGTCCATTTTTTCTGAAGAAAAAAAAATCCGTCGGGAGAAAAAATTGTGGAACTTGAGGAAAATTCTCAGGTCTGACTTACCCAATCCTGGTATCAGAATATTACATATGGCACAAAACCATGCCAAACAAAGAGGTAGTACGGGTATGGCTCCCTTCATTTTCGATGTATACTCGACCAGGTCCACATGTAATTTACGACGGGTATCCTGAAATAAAAAATACAATTAAATGGGGATCAGACTAGGGGTTACATATCTTGCTCACAATGCCCTGGTTTTTTGTTAAACCTACCTCTGGTGGAGGAGCCCGAATGCTTTGCCTTCGACTATCGGAGACGGCTACCTTTTTCTTGCGGCAGCACAGCAAGAAGTTGCAAAAGCGTTTGCAACAGCCCCTGCAGGATGAAAGGAAATTAAAAAGGATCAAAATATCTTCTCATGGGAGAGTAACCTCCACTTACTGTTTCTCGATCACATCCTGACCCTCCAAAATCGCCGCATCCGTTGGCGTTATACCCGCCTCCGGGTCTTGCCAGGCCACAGTTGATCCTGCCATGGAGCCAGCCGCCGAATGTTGACGTTTCTTACGACACGGTATACAGAAACAGCATTTCTTCACCTCAGTCTCATCGCCCGTTTTCGGATCGATTTTATTTACCGAACGACAACAGAATATTTTACTCAAACATAGACCACAACGACTTTGTTTGGGTGGTCCCATAGACGACCGTATCGGTGGCGCTGGGGTTGGTTTCCTTTCGATCACCCTATCTTTGGATTTCTTGTTACAACAACTTCGACAGCAATTTAATTTTTGCCAACATGAAGTTTTCGGCGTCGCACTGTCCTTTTCATCGACTAACTGTAAATTGGTTGTGGTGGCACTACTTGTAGCGGAAAGTACCGGCTGTGTGGCCTCATCATGTTTATTCTTGCGTTTACGTTGACAGCAGCGGGAGCAGCGTGACCGACGACATGGCATACAGAATTTAGCGCAGCAACTGCAACAGCCTCGGGGCGTGTCGTCGCCGTCCTGGTCAAGGTTTTTATTTTCGAGATATTCCTGACTACCGGATCTGCAAAATAATTAAATGAATTATTCAAAAATATTGCCTTCAGAGTAAAAATATGATAGACTCTAAGATCTTCTATAGAAAAAAATTCCTGGAACCTTTAAAAATATTTTTTAACAAATCCACACCTTGTAAGGGACCCTTAGAAATATTTTTTAAAAAATCCGATGCCTGAAAATATTTGTCTATTTACCAGTCGTCATCCTTTCGCTCCATATACCATTAGCTGTGCAGGAATCTCTGATACAGTATCTTGAAGAGTTTTATGTGAGTACCTGCCTATTGGCCTACCTCACTGTGGCTGAGCCACAGGCGGAAAAGTGCCCACCAGCACCCCTGCACCGAAGTGCTGTACCAATCAGTGCACCTTGGTGAGGGGCGAAACCACAACCACCGCGAATCTCCCAAGGGGGCCACACCAACTGTTAGGCTGGATTGACAGATCCAGGGGCACCTGAGACCCGCGGTATGGAAAACCTCCGCTCAGGCTCGAGACAGAAGCCTCTCCCAGTTCAACGCACGTCCGGGCTGGTATCCCAAAACAAAATAAGCGACAGCGATTGCCGCAAGTGGCAAGGACAAACCTGGCCACAGGCAGTGATAACAAACACACAAGTCATAAACAATTAACACACTGTCCTCACGGACTGCACAAAGGGCCCAAAGGACCGCGGCATCGGACATCACAACACAAACAATGAACAAAACTGCCCACACGGACAGCCTACACTACATCCACAGGACAAGTGAGGCACATGAAGTGGAAACCACCAACCACACACGAATCACAGACAACACCAGGCAGCACGTACATCACCTACAACCGCCGATAACCGCACCAAGACCAGCACGCACCGCCACCCGGTGCAACCGCCCACCACCACCCGGTGCAATCGACTGAGCCCACCTGCAAGGGGGCTACGCACGAGGACCACCTCCGCTAAGTACTGTCCTTCTCCTAAATGCTTCACGAGCAAAACTACTTAAACAACTAAAGGTCCGATCATCTTCAAGAGCCCTACTGAAATACCACCCCGCCCCTCCATTCAATATACCCATACTTACTAAATCTCTTATGTCATCATAGTAACAGCATTCCGTCAATATATGCCTCCAGTCCTCAGTCATCCCGCACCCACATAAATCCGTCTGGGACAGGCCTCTCTTATGCAGAAACACATTGAGGGAACCATACCCCGTCAGTAAGAAACCAGTACTTAAGCCGAAGCGAAAGTCTGGCCGGTCCACTACGAACGTAGCGTCACGAATAAATTCGTACGTCACCCTCCCTTTGTCACTGTTCGTCCACCTTGTGCTCCACATATCAATAACACAGTCCCGAAGGATAGTTCTGTACCGCCTACTCACCCCATCCACCAAATCAGATGGCCTGGATCACTGTTCGTCCACCTTGTCCTCCACATCTCAATAACACAGTCCCGAAGGATAGTGCTGTACCGCCTACTCACCCCATCCACCAAATCAGATGGCCTGAGCCAATCATCCTCATCCAACTGCAAGCCACTCTTAAGCTTATACATGATAGCCCTATAACACATCAAGATTAGGCGGCGCCAAGCAGCACTTGCAACGCCTCTGTGGAAACAGTGCGACTCACTGGCAAGCATGCTAACATGACGACCCGCTGACACGAAAGGAGCTTCTTTGTGCCATCACCATAAAAAGTTGAACGAATGTCTGGAGAAAATGTTGAAGCTATAGGTGTCGTATTTCGATTGTCATCGTTACGAGCCAAAGGCTATACGGCATCGGAAGTGGCGGTATTTCAATAGCCTACTATCGTGTACCCAAAGTTTCTTCATTCTCGATCATCAATTGGCCGCGAAGGAAATATATCCCGAATCTATGGTCAACAACGAAACTTATATGTGAAAATAAATGGAATTTATAGTTCGACAATTTCGATTATTCTCTTCTGTTCGTTTCTCACCTTCACTCCATGCTGGGCTATATCCTGTTGATGTTTCTGAATCTGCCGAATTATAATACCAATAATTATATCTATCTTTTCGGGAATGGTCTATATTTTTGGATACTTCTACATGGGTATATCTATGTTATGCTTTGTGATCGGGTAGAGATCGCTATCAGGGATATCGATTTAAGACTCTATGACTATGCGTTGGAGGAAATTTCCACCACAAGAGGTACCGATGCTGACTATTTTTTTAACAAAAAAATATTACAAATTAATATTTCTTCTTCTCAGATCGAAGTTATTGATTTGACTCGTTGCCTTCATAGGTGTGGTACTAATAACGCAAGTCCGGATATCCAAAAAAAAAAAAAAAATATACGACAGCAGCAAAAAACCGCAAGCGGCAAGGAAATACCTTGCCCCAGGCAGTGGCGACATTGAAAAAATACACACAACACAACCAATTAACATGCTGTCCTCACGGACTTCATAGCCTTCACCTCGGGAACTCGGACTTTCAGCGTGGGTCCCACTTCATCCGCCACCTCCCTTCCAGAGCCCCTCTTCTTATCTCTCACCACCACTGACCAAATTTCCACCGTCGGAGCACTAACTACCGGAGGTCGCACCGACGAACCAGCCACAGGAACAGAAGCTGAAGTTACAACGGACGCAGCTGGCCCTGTAGTAGGCCCACCAGGAACACCTGCACCCAACATGCATTCATACGCCTCCAATTTCCCTTTCAGCTTCTCATTCTCAACCAGCGCTCTCATTAACAACTCCCCATACCGATTGGCCAGCGAAATCACCTCTCTCGTAGTCTCCGAGGTGCACTGACTCTCACTTAACAAGTCAAGAAGACAATCAGTTACACTCTTAAGCTCACTCACCAACCGACTTAAGCAGCGCTCTCTTCGCCCTAGGCCGACTCTCTCTCTCTCTCTCTCTGCACGTCTCTTGCAGTCTCACCACTGGCTTCTGCCGACAAAACGTCAGCCACTCTCAGCACTATGGATTCAGTAACCAGAGGCCTCTCTCTCAGGCCAACAGGCACGACCGGCACTTTTTCGGCGACCTCTTCTTCTCTGGAGTCCCTAACTTCACTCTCTTGCTGTCCGACTCCATTCCATCGGAACTCTCCTCAGCCTCCGCATGCCTCTACCTCCTACCAGAATGCAGCGGCATCAGTGACGCAGACGACGGACTCCCCTCAATCTCTGCGTCTGACGTATCAACCGTCGATCAGGCTGGATCAACAGATCCAGGTGCACCTGACACCCGCGGTACGGAAAACCTCCGCTCAGCCTCAAGACCGAAGCCTCTCCCAGTTCGGCGCAAATCCGGGATGGTATCCCAAAAGAAAAATAAATACGTACCGTCATTACTTATACGCCTATTAGCCTTATTAAATAATTTATTTGCTTTAACTGCATTTATTAACGAGAAGGAGCAATTGTTAAAGAGAGCTTTCGACGAAGTGGCTGCAGCTCTATTGATTTATAGAATGTGAGGTCAATAACGGTCACATATTACTTTTTGGGTGTCTTGAAAGGGCTGGATTTTTGTAAAAAATCCATTTTGAGTCTCTTGGGCTGGATTTTGTAAAAAATCCATTTTGAGTCTCTTGGAAGTCTTGGATTTTGTTAAAAAATATTTTTAGGGTCTCTTGGAAGGCGTGGTTAAAAAAATCTGTTTCTCGTATTTCTTTGTAGAACATAATTGATTTTATTTAAAGGTTCGGGTTGCGTATACGTGCTGTCATTACACATACGTATTTGGGCAACATTAGTTAAGTGAGGGGGTTGCGTATACGTACCGTCATTACTTATACGCCTATTAGCCTCATTAATTAATTTATTTGCTTTAGCTGGAATTATTGGCAAGAATGAGGAATTGTTAAAGAAAACTTTCGACGAAGTGACTGCAGTTCGATTGTTTCCCAGAATGTGAGGTCAATAAGGGTCATATATTAATTAATTATTTTACAAGATAAATATGACCCATGTCCTTCAAACGAATTCCGAGTCCTTAGAATATTTCCCTATGCTTATTATCTTCAGTTTATTCCCCAAGTTCCCAGCAGAATGTGGTGGCATTGGAAGTCTTTACTTTTCTACACCATGATGTGGATTAGTTACATCAACTTCATTAATGGCTGGTGGTTAAATTTGGAAAAACGTAAAGTCTCAAGGCTAAGCCGAAAATTGAGGATACTATTTTGCTGGCCAACAGTTTATATGGTTTTCGCCCTGCCCTATGGTACCCTAATGGCTATGGCACGTGATCAGCTATATGCCACTAATCCAGTGGCCATATATGCCAATCACGCTGTGATCTTGGTGAGAACTATGCTCTATTATGTATATGTGTGGACATGGAATGGACGTGATTTAAAAATTATAAAATGGTTGAAGAAAATGCTGCAACTTCAGGCGACGTATTTTGAGAGGTTCTCAAATGTGAGGAGCTCCTCAAATAATTCTCTACATTGGTGGTTATATTTCAATTGTGTGCTGACCACCGTCCATATGTGTGGTGCCTCGTGGAATATCTATTTCGAAGATATGGAGGGAAGGAAAGGTGAACGATGGATAATATTTCCCCTGTATGGTATGGTGGTATTGCAGCATTTCTTTATGCTGCATCATGGCGGCCTTCTCTGTTGGTTGGAGGAATATTTTTCGAGAATTAATGGGCAGATTTTAAGGAAATCCTTAAATCCCCAACTAAGTTGGATTTATTGGAAATTGATGGCAATGAAAGAGGAATTGAATGCGATTTATGGTCCGGTTATATTTTTTATAATTCTATGTCTCATAATCTCCAATTCCATGGTTGGCTATATAACCCTTATGAATCTAATGCTGCCGCAATTGCCTACCCAAAATTATGCCTATCATTTTGGTAGTATCTACTATATTCTATTGATCGTTCACTTATATAGCTATTTTACAATATGTCATCGAGTGGAGATCCGAGTGAGAGAATTGGAATTTTTACTATATAAATATACCACGGAACTGTGGTTGAGCGGAGAGAATTATGAAAGGGAGGTAAGAGAACATTTCCATATATATATATATATATATATTTTTCCTGAAGTACATATTTCAAATTTATTTTCCAGTTAGAAATGTTAATTTGGAGCCGAAGTTTGTATACATCTGAAATTGAAATAGCCGGCATTAGCCTCAATTGGAGTTCCCTATTTTGTATATTGGCCCAGACGGTTTCGTATATTATTACGCTAATACAATTGGATTATGTTCATTTAATATAAATTCGATTCAATAACGATCCAGACAAAAATAGGCTTAAGGTTCATTGTAAATTGCTAAATAAAAATTCCCAAGATCGGGGAGCGTATACGTGGTGACAACACTTATACGCCTAATATTGCTTAATATAAAATATACGAATAACGAGTAAGGAAAGTAGTAAAGTCGAACTGGGCCGACTATATGATACCCTTCACCACTTTGAATATATTCTACATATGTATCCTAACAGACGACGCGTTTTTGTTATATATCTATATCTGAATCGATTTCAGGGAAACTTGCCAGAGACTAATTTATATTACTTCAGTACGTTGTGTCAATCGGCCTAGCTATGGATCTTTTTACGAAGCTTAGTAACATCATTCTAGACATCATTCATTACGCTGTGCCAAATTTCGTGTACATCGAAAGCTATTTAGGGACTTTGGTACACCACTTACCTAAAATCGGGCGAAGCTATATATGGGAGCTATATCTAAATCTGAACCGATTTTTAGGAAACTTATCACACATCATTCTAGACCTAATTCATGATGCTATGCCAAAATTCGTGCAAATTGAAAGATATATAGGGACTTTGGTACACCATTTACCTTAAATCGGACAAAAATATATAGGGGAGTGAACGGAATAATGCAGACGCGTTGATGTTTGTTTGAATGTTTCTTGAACACTGATTTTATTTTCATTTTCTTTTACTTAAGAGTAGCGATGCCTAATAATTCTTAGCCTATCTATTCAATACAATATTCTTATCATTTAACTCTTGCATTTCCCACAACGCAGCGAACGTTGGAGTTTCCCACCATGTGTGTCATTCTTATCACAACCATGATCCTAAGGGGCACTCTTCTAATACAACTACCCCCTACCTGGGGTCGTAAAATTCCTAAACAGTGCGATCATATCACACACAGTACTTGAAACGGCAATAAAATGCGAGCAAACATTTACTTAGCCTACACAAATAGTGACAAAAATACCTACATACAAAATAGTACTTAAAACTAGAGTGGTAATAAAACCTAAACAAAACTAAAAGAATATCTGTTCGAACGTATTTCGAACAGGGAGCTATATCTAATTCTGAACCGATTTTCACGAAACTTGGCAGACATCATTCTAGGCTTAATTCAGTACTCTATTCCGAATTTCGTGCAAATCGAAAGTTGTTTAGGGACTTTGGTGCACCACTTACCTAAAATCGGGCGAAGCTATATATGGGAGCTATATCTAAATCTGAACCGATTTTCAAGAAATTTTACACTCATCATTCTAGACTTAATTCAGTACGCTATGCCAAATTTCGTGCAAATCGGAAGATATATAGGGACTTTAATGGACTATTTACCTAAAATCGGGCGAAGCTATATATGGAAGCTATATCTAAATCTTAACCGATTTTCACGAAACTTGGCAGACATTATTCCAGACCTTATTCATTACGCTATGCCAAATTTCATGCAAATCGAAAGCTATTTAGGGACTTTGGTGCACCTTTTACCTTAAATCGGACAAAAATATATAGGGGAGCTATATCTAATTCTGAACCGATTTTCACGAAACTTGGCAGACATCATTCTAGGCTTAATTCAGTACTCTGTTCCGAATTTGGTGCAAATCGAAAGCTATTTAGGGACTTTGGTGCAACCATTTACCTTAAATCGGACGAAAATATATATGAGAGCTATATCTAAATCTGAACGGATTGTCAAGAAATTTTACACACATCATTCTAGGTTTAATTCAGTACGCTGTGCCTAATTTCGTGCAAATCGAAAGATATATAGGGACTTTGGCATACCATTTACCTAAAATCGGGCGAAACTATATATGGGAGCTATATCTAATTCTGAACCGATTTTTACGAAAATTAGCACATATCATTCTCGCCCAATTTAGTACTCTATGGAAGCTATATCTAAATCGGAACCGATTTTCATGAAACATAACAC